CGTCATTATAAATTCAATAATCGTGATCATTCAATAATCCACTTCGATGTCCTTCAAAGAGCTGTTAATCTAGGATAGAGCATGAGCCAATAAGCGCTCTGTATTACTAAATCTCTAAATATAAACAAAAATATATATATCATGTTCATGCATTTTGGATTGTCACATGAAGGTTGATTACGCATGATTACAACATTAATAATGATAATAATAGTAAACATAATAATAATGATATAAGTAAACATAATAAGGATAATAGTAGATATAATAATAATGATAATAATAGTGATAAAAATGATATTGGTAGATATAATGGAATAATGATAACAATAGTACTGATAGTGGTAATGATAATAGTAATGATAAATAATAATGATAATGATTGTATTAATAATAGTGATAATAGTAATGGCAATTATAATGAGGATAATAACTACAATAATGATAATAATAATAATGATAATAGTAATGGTGATAATGATAACAGTGACAATAACAATGATAAAATAACAATAATGATAATAATAATAATAATGATAATAACAATGATAATACTGATGATAATAATGATTATAAGAATTATAGTCACAATTATAAGTATAAGTATAATAATAATGATGATAAAAATAATAACAATAATTATGAATACAAAAAAGATGATACCAATAATAACAATGATAATAATAACAATAATAGTAATAATAGTAATGACGCTAATAACAATGATCATGAAATTCATGACAATGATGATAATAATAATAATAATGAATAATGGAAACGAGAATTATAATAATATTATAAATCATAATTATAATATCAATGATAAATAGATGGTTATAGAAACAATGTTAACAATAATGATAATAGTAATAATGGTAATAACAAATAATGATAATGATAATAATCACACATATATGCACATCCATTTATACATGCATACACACACACACACACACACACACACACACACACACATATTATATATATATATATATATATATATATATATATATATATATATATGAGTATGTGTGTGTGTGTGTGCGTGTGTGTGTATGTGTGCGTGTGTGTAATGTGTATGTGTTTGTGTGTATGCGGTGTGTGTGTGTGTGTATGTGTGTGTCTGTGTCCGTATAAAGGAATTTCTGCGCGTAACTTTCTTTAATTATCGTTATTATTGTTGCCAACATCATTTTATCCATTATTTTTCTTTTATCAGTGTTATGATCATCACTGCTATAAATGCTGATGATTTTATTGTCACACTAGCACTATCGTTGTTATTTTCGTTATCACCAACTGTCTCATCATCTTTTTAGATACAGATTATTGATACAAGCAGGGGAGCGCTTGGGCAAGAATTCCTGCCGATAGGCCAAGACCTGTACCGTTCCCTGCTTTAAACGCTTTCCAAGGCAGGCAAGCGTTGTTCAGTGATGCCAGACATGTGGAAGTGTCTTTCTATAAAGTACAAATCATAACAGTCCTTGGAGAACTTAGAAATGTCAAAATAACACGCAACATATACTTACTTGGGTTTTAAAAGCACCAACAATCTCGGAGAGAGATAACTTATGCATAAGTTGAAGGTGGAGTTTATTTCATTATCGTTTGGTAACAGTTTGAGCGAGCATTTCAAAACAGCTGACGAGCTAGCGCCGCATCAAGATGGCAGAGAAGTAAATAAATCTACCCTAACATCTTAACAAAGCTCAATATTTTTTCTTGTATTCATATACAGTGCCTCTAAAACAGTGACACACACTTCCGATGGCAACCCTTACACTCTGACGCGTTAAAACAAATAAACATCCGTTAATCAAGATATAGGCCTACCCATTCTCATAGACCCGATTTTATGAAAAATATAACGTCATTTAATACAATATCAACAGAAGCGTTGCTAGAATTTCTCAGACTTTTTTCACTTAAAATATTCTTTATTTCATAGAATAATATATACATTCTCGATTTAGAGAGACGAGGAGTTTTAGTAAGAGATAAATTGTTCGTCTTATAATGATTTATGATTTATAAGCAAAGAACTTTTCATTCCCATAATCTCCATTATCTCTTTTCGTTTTCAGTTAATTTCAATTTCTTTGAATATGATTTTATGGAAATTACAGAATCAGATACCGTGAAAAAATCATTTCTGTGATAAAATATTAAGCGGAGTTCTTGGTCAACGCCCGCATTCGAAGGATCGTGACCAGTACGGTACGCGAACGACGCTGTTGCCATGGTGACGGTACACCGCTTGACTTAGCAAGCACAAGTCTAGCCATCTACGGAGTTCGCTTGGGAAAGCAAGCAAGAGGAAGTCTTGAGATTTTAGGCATGAACTTTCCATGCTTAAAATTATTAATAGATTCGAAAAGGACATTATCTATCATTATTTTTATACCCTTTATCTATCTATCTATCTATCGTCTTATGTACCTGTTCCTCCGTAATCTTTACCTTCGCCAGGAGCATTAATTTAGCTGGTGAAATTTAT